TTTTTACAACATACAATTTTAGTAAAGCAAACGAACAAAAGCAACAAAAACAAGCAACAAATTAACTGCATTCTTTTATATCAACGTTAATTTGCTAGTTAATAAAACGTTTCAGACATTGTTTCGCTTACCTTGATCCAACAATGGTGGCCTGACGGCCATTGGTTGTCGTTAGCAAATCGTCGGTATCCTGGGAACTACCATTTGTTGTGCCCACCACCTGACCAATGGCGCGTTTCATCGATTCGAAAACCGAGTGTGGACCGGTCGGCTCTGTGGTGGACTGATAGATGGCGCCACCACTACCATCTTGGCCATTGGTACCGGCGCTATCAAGCGCCGTGTAGCCGCCTTCAGACTGCGGCATCTTCAAGGCACGCAACTCAACACTTACACCACAACAACCGAATTTTGYTTCTTGCGACTGCTGCTTTGCCTTTCTTCTTTTTCAATTGGCTTTAGAGTTCGTAATGTGATTTGTTGTAGTTCTTATTGTTCTTGTATTGCTTGTTGCACAGGTGCTTGGTGGCTGTATAATGAGTGGCACTTGTGGTAGTCGATATGTKTGTGTATGCGTGTGTGTGTCTGTGGTTGAGGCCAAACTGTGCTGATGTGTCAATCCTSGCGTTGTGTTGGCATTTGGACTTGAGCTTGCTAGTTTTCTTTCTTTTACTTTTATTACATGGTTTAATTTATGTTTAAATATTTTATTTTACAAAATGCAGTTAGACGGCAATCAGGCAATCAGGCAAACAGGCAGAAAATCCAATAGGCAGGCAATGGTTCAGTTTTTATCATTTTATATAGTTTTTTAAGAAATGCATTTTAATTTTTTTATTTATTTATACATATAGGTTTTACAGTTCGTTTAAGTATACACATACATACATATAGGTAAATATGTAAGTGTGTATATAACGGTTATTTATGTATTTAAAATTGGGTTGTTAGGCGGTATTGCGTTTGTTGCATAGCGCGTGTTGTGAGTGCATTTGTGGTTATTTGGTTTGTTTTGGAACGTCAGCGAGCGCAAATGACAGTTTTCAGTACGACAGACATTCGAGTTCGTACCAAACAAATCGAAAAATAAACGGAAAGTAAAAAAGGAAAATTATTATAAAACATAAACAAAATTAATCCAAAATCAAGTGTAAAACCAAATAATACTCCTTCCGTAATAATAAAAGGCAGAAAWGAAAACAGGCGCATTTTTCCTTCGTGTGTGTGTGGAAGTACAATAAATAAAGAAAATGTAATTTGCAATACAAGCAGAATTTTAGGTGCATGGGTAGCGGCAACAGCGAATTGTAAATGTGCGTTAGTTTGTGTGCATGTGTAAGTGCTGCTAAGACACACAGACAACTTATGAAATTCAATGCCACTTTACKATATACATATATGTAAGTACTTAAATGCAAATACTTGATTACTAAAGTAAATTCATACTGCATACAGGGACGGAAGACGAATTGGTGAATGGTGAGCAAATAAATGAATGAGGATTTGCAAAATGCCTTGAAAGTGTGAAAAGTTTGATGAAAGTGTAAAAAGTGCATGTAAAATGGTGAACGATGACGGAAATTAACAAAAATACTTAAAATATTTTTGAATTTTGAAAATAATTAAGCTTTTGTAACAAAGGTCCAGCATTCTGATTAATTCCAGGAGCTTGCTGGGCGCAACGACTGTGATGTGATTCTTATCCACGTAAATGGCCTAGGACCTTAAGCCTGCCTCTACAAATTGCAATCTAGAATGAAATGATAAGGGAATTACTTATATCCGAGTAATCACTGCAGCWGTATCGATGAGTTGTATTGATGAGTTTGGRGTGTAATGGGGTATAGTTATGCCTCTGGGTTAGCAGTTACATTTGTAAGACTATACGAAGCTGGTTGATGACCTTGAAAAAGTAACGGCTGACATAACCACCGTCCAAAATATGCGATGGACGGGACAAGGAGGGAGGCGAGTAGGTTCTTGTAACATTTACTACAGCAGCCATATAAAGGAGCGCAAATTCCGTGTGGGATTCGTGGTGGTAGAAAGACTCCGTCATCGAGTACTGATATTCATCCAGTGGATAAGCCATAATCCACATCAGAGCAAAATTTTTCGATATGACCAAAGATGCGTTTTATGAGCGGCTGGTAAAAATTATGATTGGCGATTTTAACGCCAGGATAAGGAGGRCATCTTTAGTACAACAGTCGGATAATTCAACCTACATGTCGAAACCTCTCCAAATGAGTAGAGGGTGATCGACTTCTCATCCTCGAGTCGTAAATCCTGGAAAATCTACTACCGACCATATTTTCACCATATCCAAAATCTAGGAAACGACCCGTAAAAGGAATATCTAATCTAGAAAGTCCTCACAGCCGTTGGAGATTTGTAAGACTGTATATCAAAGAAAGTTACAGTACTTGGTTACAAAAGTCGTCTTGGTTCAAATATGCTCCATTTAATARAAATAATGGAACAAATTCAACAAGGTCTATTTGTTTGTTTGTTTATATTCTTTTTCTCTTTGTTGTGTCTAAATCAGCTGTGATCAATTTTCTACTCACAATGGTGCTAAACATTTTGAGTAAAAGTATGTCTCTTAACGTAATATTACCCAAAAAAACATTTCTAAATGCTTTTCAGGGACATTTTACACTCTAACGGACTTTCAAAACACAAAAAAATAGCTTATAATTCTTGCCAAAATCGTAAAAAATTAATTCCTATTTCTTAAGTTGTTTAGGACAGTTTGACGTAATGTATTTAGGACAATTCTATATTATCGCAAAGTATGATATCAAAATCTACTTCTTATGCATATAATATGTATGTGTGTATTTAGCTCTATTTTCTAGTAACTAATTAGGTTTAAGTTAATTTTTCTAGCAAACTTTCCGTTTGCGGTCCATATACTTCGCTTTAATCATAATAATTCACCCTCACTACTACTATCAAAGGAGCAAAGAAGGCCACACCTGCTTACACACAGTACAAGTTTGCTACTCTTTAATTCTCTTGAAATTTGTCTCCTAGAAACCATTATTAATTTTCTCAGCAATAAATAACTCTCAATGCTTGCAAAACTTATTTATGACCCTCTCGATATAAATTTGCCGTGTGCCATAGTTTTTGTAGCAACATTAAATGCTAGACAGATCAAAGATAACCAATCGGAGTATAAAGTAAGCCAGTTTAAGGCTTGACAAACACCGGCATTTATGATACATTGATAAAAGAACATTAAAATAATTAAAATTATTCACATAGTAGAGGGGGAATAGAAGGTTAGTGGAGGAATTTTCTGCAAAGCACTCTTCGCTAAGCTCAGCTTTCGGCTACTGAACCAGTCTAGTGTTTTTCAATCAGAATGGGTGGCTATTAAGGCAGCAGTACATATACTGTATGGAATTGCGAGCATTTACTGCGATAGCTGATTACCAATATTAGCTTTGAGCTCGCTAACTGTGCGCTTAAGGGGGGAGCCAAAAAATCGATTTTTTTGCTTAAATCTCTTTAAAAGTAATCTAATAGAAGAATATGTCCTGAAAGTTTTAGGTGGGAATTCAAAATATTTTCGAAGCTAGAAGGAAAATAGTGACAGAGATTCTAGCAGATATATGAGCGCTTGGGCGAAAAGCGAAAACTGTGACGCGCGATTTCTCGGTTTTACATTTTTACAATTTTTCTTAATTGCCGGCTGTCGTATGGAATTAGGGCAAAGTTTATTATCTTTGGCATTAAATTATCTCCTAGCTAAACTTAAAAAAAAACTAAGAAAAGTCAAGTTTGAACATATTTTAAAAAAACATAAAGTGAAATTTTTTTGGTCAAAAACCGCTTTTTCTCAATTTTACACTTTTTTTTTGGAACTTTTTTAGTTTAACCAGAGATAAATTATTAAAAAATATGAATCTCTTTAAAGTTTTTATTTCCGATAGAAATTGCGACCTGCATCTTGCTCGCTTCCCAAAGGCAATGATTTCGTAGCTGAAAAATGTGTGGATGATGATAAAATATATCACTACAAACCCTAGAAATTTTGCTTTAATCACTTATTTCTTTCCTTTCCAAAAAAATCCTCAAAAAAATCGATTTTTTSAKGCCTCTAAACCAGGCTCCCCCTTTAAAGGAGATTTAAGCAACTAAACGCACTCGGAAACGTTCATTTTGAGGTAATGATATGATTTGTAACCAGACATTGTCCTAAAGGCATTCATGCGTTAAGTTTGTCAAAATTATATGGAAGAAGTTGAGGTGGAAACACTCGGGCATTTATTCTCCATTATCCAGAATTTGAGACTCAAACATCTCTGCAGCCATACCTTGGGCGAACATAACCGAAATTGACTTAATCACGTCAACAAATTTTAACTTAATTGGCTCAAAGCGTTTTGTCTTATATAGAAAGCTTTGGGTATCACAATGGAGCGTTCTAAGCTGTCGACTGAGACTCTGTTAGGTTGTTGTTGGCAATTTTCCCAAAAACTCAGGCAAACCATTCGCTACAATTTTTTCAATTTCATGCGCTTCGCTCAAGTTATSGTCAACATAATCGGATCACTGAGAGTACTATTCGGAACAGCATCACCTACTCTGGGACCTAGCATTCATTTTTGCATAATTTTGCACCACGTCCATCACGCGTTCAGAGTGTACACGAAGATCATGGAGAGTCTATTCGGCGTCGTTCGCAGTAACTCGGACACTAATCAATGGATTTATTAAGAGCACACTTCGTTGAGCAGATAATTCCACGTTTTGGGCCGGTCGATTGACCACCAAGATCGTATGATATCACACCGTTAGATTTTTCCGATTCARACCTTCTATCAAAACATTACGCGTGTCATTCGCCAATTACAAGACGAAATGCTCGAACGAGTCGTCCAGAATTGGACTCAACGAATGAACCATCTGAGACCTACCCGTAGMCAACATTTGAAAGAGATAACCTTCAAAAAATAAATGCCAAAAAATGTTCCTTCCAATGATAATTAACTTTCCCCATTAAATTTGAAATTTCTGTGCTTCTTCTTTTAAAATGTAAGGAAACTCGAAATGGATCACCCTGTACAAGTAACCGCGAAATCGGCTATTAAAAAGTTAATATTAGAAACAAAAARTATAAAGTGTTAAAACAGCAAAGAGAAAATCTAAAAATACCTCAAAAAATTACAGCACAATATGCTTTCAATTCACACCTAGAAAAGTTTTTACCACAAATTAAATGGCTTCGAAAATGACGCATTTATGTAAGCAAGCAAACACAAAAACCGGTTTTTATGCATTCTTGACATAAGTATGTACATATGTTTCTTTCAGAACTCACAGTCATATATACTTCATACATATGCATGTACATAGAAACATACATATAGATATTTCGAAAATATTACAAAACAATTTACATAGTATCACTAATCTAAAAAACATATATTATATTTTTTTCCAATTGAACAATTCAATTCTGGATATTACTAAATAATTTGAAGTGCCATTTGCAGCAGCAATCGAATAAAAATGCCACCGGCAAGTGGTTTAAATCTAAAACAGACATTTTCAATAACAAAGATTTTGCTGTTTGTTGTTGTTAAATTGAATGTGCTTTCGTGTTACTTTTGTTATTGATATAGAAACTTTTTGAACTCTGCTTTGATATTTTCTGT